ACACAGATCATTTAGGACCACACCAAAAGTGATCCTCGATCCATCCGTAGCGAAGGCATTCACCAGATTCCGAAGCATAGAGTGTTCCTCCTTGGCAGAAGAAGCACAGTTGGAATGAAGCTGTTGGGCCGCTTGCAGCAGAGTGAGAAATACTAGCGTTGGCGCGGACGCGAGGGGAAATTCACAAGTAAAATTGGAAATGCCTGGTCGATCCTCTCCCGCAATGGCTGTGGGGCATGTAACGGTTAAGGATATGGGTCTCAACGTCCAGGAAGAGGACGGAGGGGCCACAGATCCAGCTGAAAAATCGCTAGAGGAACCAACGGTGGACGCTTGCACCTAGAGGGGTAATTCGTACCGCGTTGCTTGCTTTCTTTGCCATTGTACAGTGGTAGCACAAGGACATTCTTCAGCTCAGGAGGCACCTCCTCAACCCACACGCGTTGCAGTAATTGGTGCAACACATTCGCCAACGCGGGTCCGCCGTGTTTCAATCCTACTGTCTGGATCCCTTCGGCGCCGGCACACTTGCCATTTCGCAGCTGAACAAGTATTCTCTGCTTCTCATCCAGTGCCTGTGTCCCTCCAGATCCGCTTACACCTCCTTCTGCTTCAGGCCGTTCAATGTAGGCCAGTCACTCTCTGAACGGTTGTTCAAGAGACAGTCAGTGTTTTTGGCCGGCCTGCATTATGTCTGCAGTCTGTGTGCACGCAGCGCCTGAACTGCCATCGAGAAGCGTCCTCAGCGACTCCAACCCTCGTCCATACACCGTCTTCAAAGAGTCAAATAATTCCTTGTGTTGGCGGCGTTCGGTGTAGCATCCCATCTGCTTCGCCTTCTCCGTCCGCCGTGCATTTTTAATGCGATGAAGCTCTCGGGTCAGTCGTCGTCGAATTCGCCTAAAGTTTCTATTCTTCCCCAACTTACTGGAGTCTGCCACATGTGCAGCAAATGCTGCATTCTTCTCACACACAAATGCGCCAATCGCCGCATTGTGCCCATCAAAGCAATCATGCCGTTTACAGTTTGCGCGTCCAGTGGTCTCCTCGGCAGCTGCTGTCACCTGCTCGCGAATGCGGTGCCACTATCTCTATGCATTCCACATCACACAGCCGTGCAGCCATCGCCTTCAGCTCAAGATGTTTCGCTACAGTACCGAGGGAGAGTCAGTTAAATTTACGTCGATTCACGGCAGGAGTGCAATACATAGATTTACGAAAATGTGTGTACAGTTTGGTTCGCACCAATTTGTGACCAGTGCCACACTTAGCTTCACGCAGTACACTTGTCATGCTCACTTCACGCCTATCACGCTGACCTACGATGACAGCCGAGTAGGTGAGTGTTATCACACCGTGGGTGCGTCCAAATTGCTAAATCACTCGCACTCAGTGCAAATCGAGTGTTGGTGATCGTCAGGCTGTTAGTGATGCACTGTGAGAGCAGCCTGTCACCGTTTATATATATATATATATATATATATATATATATATATATATATATATATATATATGTATATATATATATATAATCTTTTGCTTATCTGAAACCCGACTTCAAGACTCCAACACAGTCTACCAATTGTCGTCACCCGTTCACCTATACACCCTGTTTCCTCCGCCTTTCTGGAGACGCCGAGTCCACTGCAGCTGGGCAAGCTGGTGTTGGGATCGCCCTTAGTTCCAGAGCCGAAGCCGCCCTTCTTGACTGGATTCCCATCAACAGTCGCCTCTGCGCTATGCGGCTCCAAGGCTCATCCAAAGTTAACAGGCGTCGAGAAGACAAACGCGCTCTTTTTGTTTTCTCCGCCTGTGCGCCCATTGATCGTAGCCCGTACACCGTCAAAGACCTCTTCTATAGAACCTTCATGACCTAATGGCCCCAAAACGGGCATCATTGTTATGGCGGAGGATTTCAACGCGCATGTTGATTGTTTGCTACCAAGCGAACGCCATCTCGGAGGCCCACATAGATACGATAACGATCGCACGGATAATGGAGAAAAATTGCTCAGTCTATACTCGGACCACCAAGTTTGTCTATCCAAGTTGAACTTCCGCAACCCGAGACGCCACTACGCTATCTGACGTGCTCCATCATCGCAACATTGGTCGCAGATTGACCACATCGCCATAAGTCGCCGGTGGCATGGCAGTGTTCGAGACTGCAGATCTTATTGGTCAACTTGCATCGAATCTGATCATGCGCTGGTACGTGCGACGGTATGCATGCGTTTCGGTGGCTCGCCTACGCCTAAACAAACTCATCTGAACTTTGATAAATTGGAAGACTCCGCTGTCCAAGGGAATATCAACGGATGCTCCGTGACAATCTCACTTTTCCCCCACCTCTGGACGTTTACCAACATTGGCTGCAGGTCATCTTTTCTGCGGACCTGTCTACCTGTGATCTTGTTCTTTCAATAGCTAAAGGCTGTATCTCTTCGACATCGTCGGAATTACTTGATCGTCGGCGGTCCATTCCCGTCAGTGTGGGGCACACTGAACTCCGACGAACCATTTCTCAACAACTAAAAGCAAGTCTTCGCCGCGATCGTAAATCCTGGTGGTCCAATCGAGCCACGGAAATGGAATCTGTAGCCGCTTCTGGAAACACCGGCAGACTACTTTACCTCATCAGATCCACTGAATGCAAATCACATTCCATCAGCGAGACAATCTGCGCGTCAGACGGTACGAGGATCACTAATCTACTCAAACGTCTTTATTGCTGGGCAGAGCACTTCGCTCTTCAATCTAATTATGCGATTCAGCCACCTATGATAACCCCGTATACACAGACCATCCCACCGAGGCTGAGATTTAAAGAGTAATCCAGACTCTGAAACGATGCGAAATCCCAGGCCCTGACAGCCTTTTTCCGGCCCTATTCAAAGATGGAGGACATACAGATATTAGTGAACAGCTCTCGCTTTCCACGAAAGTGTGGATCAATAAGAAGATTCCTAACCCTTGGGACGAATCTATCGTGGTCCCGATTTACAAGAAAGGATCCCGCAACAATTGCACCAACTACCGAGGAATATCACTTGTCTCCGTCGCGTCTAAAGTTTTTGAGTCGGTATTGCTCCGCGGACTTTCAGCTACTCGAGAAAGTTTGTCTCGCGAAGAACAAGCTGGCTTTCGCAGCGGTCGAGGTTGCATTGACCAGATTTTCACGCTGCGTCAAATTCTCGAATATTGTCACATCCACCGAAGACCAACAATAGTGGTGTTTTGAACATCCGTGCCGCATTCGACTCCATAGACAGAATATCTCTTTGGAACTGTGCTAAGAAACGGTGTACCTGACAAATTCGTCACAATCCTGAGAGTACTGTGTCGCCACATTTTGGGCAAGTTAAAGCTTAGGAAAGGCTTTCTTCCTCTTTTGCTGTTACCAGCGGAGTACGCCAAGGTTGCCCGATCTCACCATCCTTATTTTACTTGGCCATCGATGATGTTCTCCACCGCGCTCTGGAAGGAACCAAAACCTGTGACTTTGACCTCCTCCTCGAAAACAACATTTCTTAGTTGGATTATGCTGATGACATCGCTTTGCTGGGGGACGACCCACAGGCCATCCAAAACGTTTTGAACCGCTTAGCGATCGAGGCATCTAATTATGGTTTGTACTTTGTCCCATCCAAGTGTAAAACCCTGCTCCAAAATTAACAAGCCCCAGTAGCAACCCTCACAATTGCAGGTGATTGCCTTGAACAGGTATTTCGCATTTATCTTGGGAGTTGCATCACGGCGGGGTGCGGTGTTGGGCATGAAGTGTCTCAGCGAATCGCTAAATTTCGCCTGGCGTTTACTACTCTGACGCACCTGTGGGGCCGCCGCGACATCAGTACAAGGCTCAGAGGCAAACTGTACAATGCCACTGTACGGCTGCGAGATCTCGCCTGTTCATCTGGAAGATCTGAAACGACTAGAAAATTTCGACAACCACTGCTTGCATATGATTGTTATTGTGTGGTGGCAACACCGCGTTAGCGACTCGGAAGTTAGAAGCCGTGTACTCGGAGCAAACAATCCCAGTATCCAGGGTATTATTCTCGAAAACAGTTTACGTTGGATTGGTCATACCAACCGATTGACTTCCTCGCCGAGCATTATTTGCGATTTCTGTGCGTGAGTAGAGAAAATGCCGGGGTGGACAACCGCTAACGTCAAAGAGGAATATCACCGTATGTTTGGCTTCATCAGCATTTGTCCGTCTTCCAGGTTGAGGACCACGTGATGAGGACACCAAGTGACTGCAAGTTTTTGAGGTTATGGCTCGTAACCGAAATCAGTGGAGTCAGTGCTGTTAAAACTATTTCCTTTAAACAAACAAAAAACTAAAAAGGCGTGTATGAAATACAAAAAAAACAAATGAAAAGAAATAGGCCGTTTTCCTTTGTTTTCAAACCCTCATTTTTTAATACCATTACAGCTATGGTTCTGGTGGCACATTTGTCTGTTTCCAGACTTGTGAATAAATATAATTATATATATCCACACCATATTCGCTGCACATTAAGTCGCCTATTCCATTGGTTGCACATGCTAGACTCTGTCCGTGTGCTCCATTGCATCGGCTCCTGCGTTACTTTTTCCTTTATCTGATTGATGTCCAGTTTGAGTAGCTACTAGGGAGCGGAACAGTTTCTAGGGAACCACTTAGTTCATTAGCTGAGGCTCTGTAGATGGGGGGCACATGCGACTTGCATGTGCCAGAAATACCCATTATTGTGTTTTAATTATTTCCTGTTTTTATATTGTTTTCCCCGCAATATCCCATCCTGCATCATCGTTAAACAGCCTTCTGCGCATTGTTCAGGTTAATTAGTTTTGTTAGTTGATCGAGTAACTTTTTTCCTCAACGCAACTTTTGCATATTATACAGACAACAGGAAAACTGCCCACTCTGTATTTATCCTTCTCTAGTCCAGGTGCCCCACTTTGCACGAACCTGACATCTCACTTTTGGTCACCACTTCTTTGACTTACAGCACTCGGCGACCAAACTCTGTACCGTTACAGCAAGGATAAGGCATTGAATTGGCTTTCCACACGTGTTTCCCATGTATCTAAAGGTGTTTCCCAGCTTGACGATACCACTTCTTACCAGCAGGTAAGATCGGTTGCCTCCTCCATCACTCCGTCAATGACAGACGCAGCCGCACCGGATTATGCTGCGGGTAAGATTTACATTTTCTATCTTTGTTGAATTACAGGGTCAGTGTGTTATTTGCGATTGTGTGGCTGTGTGTTTGTATACGTACAAGTCCCCACAAGTTCGTGTTGTTGCCTGCAGCTTAAAACTCTAGTGAGGCTCGACCACATGGGGCAGTTCCAGCTTTAAATAACAAAATATAGACCATAGGAAATCTACGGGGTATTGTCACTACATCTGATTCATTCTATTTGATTTGTTAGGTGGCGCCTAGGATACTAGTAAGCAGCAAGGGCACATAAACGACGTGAGACTGTAGAAACGATGGAGGCATCTGGACCCAACCTATAATGTACAGGCTAGAAGGAGTATGAAACGAATCAGCATTAGCGAGAAATTGCGTGGTACGTTGCTCGCCAGAGCAATTCGTGAAAACGAATGTACATTCAGTAAAACAAATGGCCGTTTGGAAGGATCAAACAACAGTAAACTCTAATGCTGTAAAATTCTAAAATAGTATGCTTTCAGGTGTACCAAATATCTTCTGCCTGTTGACCACTCTGTTTTCTTTTGCAATACCTTCGGTATGCACATCAATACTGCAACTCTCGAGAAAATTGGTAGCATTGCTACGGTATAAGGTGCATATCAGTCTGAGACGCTTGGCTAAATTTCGGCGCAAGTTCCGAGTCGAGTTTAGTGCTTTTACTTACTAGCCAACATCTTCATTGTGATTATTTTTGTCTTCATTACCATTACCATTTGTTTACTTGATTAATCAGTAATTAATGCTTCCATCCCAACCGATGTCTTTACCAAACTTTCACCAGTCACAATTCGTCACCTATTCACACAAATCAGATGTCCGAATAATTGGAATCAAAAACAACGTTATGGTCACTAAGGGCATTCCTACTGCGACAGTGGTCAGGAAATTCCTGTCAATACAGGCTTACTTTCACGGGCGTTCATTCTTTTCATCATAACCATGCTTTAGTCTGCGCCTGCGCCGTGTACGAATGACTTGGAATTCTCACCAAGTATCGGATTTAGAAATTCGCCACTATTGCGACAGCTTCCCATCAACAACAGCAGTACATCAGATGTTTGAACTGGCGCTTCGTTGTTATACAACCATAATGACCTATTTAATGAAGAATAAGAGGGAGAGAAGGAGTAGTTACCTGAAGACCTTAATGCCCTAAACAAACATTCAGGGTCAAGGCGCCTACAACTTATGTTAACAACATACCGCCACAAACCGCTGACTCCTGCAGGCGGCATCTTAGAGACAGGTTCCTTCCAGTCTTCACTGCGCCGCGTCATGCTCAACCATTACCCCGCAGATAACTCAGCACAAAGCACACTTTAAACAGGCAGTCCGATTAGGTGGCAGCAGACGCGCCACCAATGTAGACTGCGAGTCATGTCCTATAAATTCTAAAACCGAGCCCAAGGCGGGTCACGTGGATTGCATCCCGGAAGGCGAGACGGACCGACGGCACTCAGTTTGATCTTTAGTGACTATTTCACACTGCCAAGTCAACTTTTGTTCACCGCGAGCCTTGCGCCAGCCTACATATGGCAGACAAAACAATGCCCTCCTAGCTGAGCGGTGACCTGGCTTTCTTAGTACGTGCCCAAGCTAACGCAACTTATTCAGTGATATCTATTGTTCTAGAGCACTAGCTTGGTTATCACTGCCCAATACTCGCCTACACACAACCTCGTTGCGGACGCTCTGGTGCCATCCAGCAATATTCCGTAGACAACGATTCACAAAGTCTTGAAGGCGCATCAGATCTTCAGACCGACGGAACGACAGTTTCTACATTCAAATGAATCGTCAACTCCCAAATGCACCGGTGTTCGATTGACACAAAACATCTGCTCTTAGTCCGAAGGTCACCGGTTCGCATTTACCTAGGTACAGTCGACTTCACAATTTTCTTGGAGTCCTCTCGTGACAGCGAATGGTCAGTTGAGCGTACTGACACACTGCTGATAGTCAACTACCCATCTGGTCATCGGAATTATGAGAGGCACGTGCCATGCTATGTGAATGCCTTGCACTAAGAACAAAAAACGCCATATCGAATTACAGAACGGATGTATTCGTTCTCTGCATATTCATGATGAAATAATAGGCGTTGAATCTTGAATTCCGGTGCGGGTAGGCTGGAGTGGTATGGGATCGACGCGAGATAGCAGAGGAATCTTTCAGTGGGCATCAAATACCGCTTAGTTGCCACCCTTGCTTCCCCCATGCGTCATTTGCAATTGCTGTGACAACGCCGTCTCCATTGTTCACCCTCGCGTCTCTTTAGTTGCAGTTGAGGATACACACAGCACTGGCTTCATACGGTAATCACAATTTTTCTTTGCACATTTTTGCTTTCTCTTCCACACATTCTTCATTTTCGCCCTATCAAGTTGGACACCTCGTTATGTGCACTTTTTTTCTGGACCGGCATGCCGTGTATGATTTATCAGTTCAACTTATCCCCGCAAGACTAAGCTGGCTCACAATCAGTTGGAATGCTTACCTCAATTCTACCCGTAGCCACCTGTCTATTCGTTTACTTGGACAACCATACCAAACCCATTAATGGACCCAGCCGAATAGATATGTTCATCATGTCATCAGGGCACTAAACAACAAATCCGACATCCTCAATGGGATGAATGACTGTAAACCGCGCACTACAGTTGCTTGGGTTATCCCACCTTAGTAACCACACTATGTGCTGCACTATTCAACATTATACACCGTTCACAAGACTGAAAAATTATTGTCGATTGGTCCTCCAAGCAACAAGGTCAAATTCTGGGCAGCGACCAGAACTCTATTTCTTGCCAAAACAACGTGCTTTTTCCGGTACACTATCCTTCATTGAAGCAATGGACAGATGGTTTCTGTTGATAGGGTAGCAAACATCTTATTCATCGATCAAGCTCTTTAATCGCGCGGCTTTACAGTACGATACAGCTGGAGTCTTTATCGATTGAATAGGAACAGCTACCACACTGAAAATGTTCTTGTTGGGTTTTTCTACAGTGAACTCATTTTATCGGGAGCGCACTGGCATAGGAAGACGATGATGTTCTCTTTGGCGCGGTTTGGCGAATATGTCGTTTTCACGGACAGCAACTTTTTATGTAACTGATTCGTATCCTCAGTATTTGCCTCTATCCGCACTGGCAATTATGTTTCGACGAAAATTACACTGTCTCCTTGACCGGATACTTTTATGTCCAACTGGGAACGATTAGCAATTTGCTCACTCAAACTTCCGCAGCACTTGCATCGCAAATCATGAACTGATTCTGCCAAGATCCACAAATCTCACAGACGGGCAAAGAGGACGGAATTCCATAGAGTTTGTTTGTCCGACGCTTACATGTGTGCCTCTGGAACTTCCGGTGTGTGAACAAACCTTACTACCCACTCATTACGACTCTGTGGGAAGGTAGATTGTGATGTCTGCTTTGTTGCATCATTTTAGCGTTATTGGTCGCCAGCAAAGCAAATTCGGCTCCCCTCACTTTTGGAATCCTTGCCAACAGCTTATTTTGTTCGTATCTTGTGTTTCTCAAAATGTGATACCCAACCACTTCTGCATTCTCCGCCACTTTAGGGTCTTTTCTTCGTTACCTTCAGGTTTCTCGCTGGTTCACTGATGTATTCTTAGCCCATGTTCGATGTAAGGAGTGAGGAATTGATACTTATAAGAAATCATTCTTGGCGGTACTGCCTTTATAGTCTTAGCCGCTTCTAACTTATCAGTGTCTTGAATTCCTTTTTTGACGCAGCGGTTAAGCTATTTTGAGTAGGTGGCTGTCCATAGGTCTCACTTAAAATTTCTTGACGCTCATGAACGATCGTCGGTAGCTTCGTATACATTACCAGAGGCTTCGGGAAAATCGTTCGGTTTCAACCCTTGGCTATGTTGTGATCCACCGTTTTCATGTGGTTCCCCGGACGTGATAGCGAAGTAATTCGCATTTCACCTCGGCCCATGGTTTTAATGTGCTACCATCAGACCTGGTTGTGCTAAGGTCGTCCTTACTCTTTGTTTTCTAAGCCGGAGAGTCACGAGCTTCCATGGTTATTAACGTTGTCCATTGTAACTGGGATCCTAGATGAACTGTCAGCTTGCTTCCTTTTTTCACTTCCACATATCTCTTCCGCTCCATGTCGCGCTTAGTCTCATTCCTTTACGTTTATCTTCGGCTATTATATTTCGAACCAGGTCCATTTAGGATTTGATTTATGAAATTTCCTATGCGATTTCAAATGAGTGTCAGAAGACGCAGGTTACGAGATTGCGTCTTGAGACCATTGCTATCCATCGCGCGCAGCGCTCCCCTTTTGTTCAAAACAGCTAGCAATGACACCATGATTGCTTGAAGTACACAAATCATCCACTGACTGGCCACCAGTCAATTTCGTGTGACCTTGTTTTGCTTCCTTTATAGGTTGCGTGTACATGATATAAGAGAATGCACGCGGTGACCGTGACTTCCTAATTCACTGCTGCTGTACAATCCTGATTCATTGTTGTAACTGTTGCTATCTATTTATAAGTAGTACATTTTTCTTCACATTTATATCCACCATGATTGGACAGATTACTACCATTGGTCACATTCAGAATCTGAACTAACTGTACCGAGGGTTTGATAAGAGCCTTTCGATTCTGCTCAGTCGGTCGCAGATCAGCCGCGCAGGTCAGGGTGAGATTGGAGCGCACTAATTTGCCGACCCACCAATGGCATGTAAGTCTACTGTATTTACTCACCCACGCATGTCTGGGGGTGTGAATACGACGTTAGGACGCATAGCGGTGCATGTGTCCTTGAAATATGTTAATTACCCCCGGCGATTTCGACACCGCTCAGTTCAGATTGGGTCGCTGCCGACGTTTTTGGCTGGTGGTTTGCAACATCTCGACAGCAGTGCATAATGCATTGGCTACCGTGTTCAAATGTTGGTGGCGCTTCGACAGTTGCTTAATGTTATCC